CTTTTGACTTTTGACAGTTCTATTGGCATCGGAAATAGAATTTTGCAAAAAACGCCCATCGGCATCTTAAAGTACATGAACGTAGAAATCTTTTAAGCCCTAGAACGTTTAAATCCATCAAAGCAATTTTTGTTTAGAGCTCTGTCCGTGTTGACGTGGAATGTCCCATATATATAATATATATACATATATATACTAATTTTCACTTAAAAATCCATTTTATCGATTTTAAGGGTTTTTTTTTTTTAAATTTTTTTAAATAGAAGATTTAACTAATATAACAGATATCAAACGAAAAGTCACAAACACAACCACGGTACCCTGGAAACAATTTCAACCCTCAAGTTGCATCCTTTAGACGACTCCTGTTGTAACTTCTTTGAAATTCTTCACTGATCATTTTTCAGAAGGAAAAAGCAAAATCCGTCGGGCGGATTTTTTTTAATTTCAATTTTTGTGTTTTTATCAACAAATTTGAGAAAAGACAGGTTTTTACGATTTTATAAACCAACATATGATATTGTAACTGGTACCTTTTTATTCAAACAATTATAGAATAATATAATTCTTATAAGCAGTTTTCAGTATAATCGAAATCTGATATTAGTTTATTAATTTAAGGCAGTGAAGTGGCAGGAAATCTAGAAAACTATTTTGACTTTGAAAACAAAGTCACGGGAGCTTTTCTGAAGTTTCCGAGTTTTTTTCGTTAAATTTTTAAAAGCTAAGGACAGTTTCGAATTTAGCGGAAAATTTTTAACGAAAGGCTCTATTTGAACATTTTTTCTTAATAATATCGACTACTCTATAATAACATTTGTTTCAAAAATGTGATAGTATATATTTATTAATCATATAAATTTGTTGAATCAAGCGATTTTTAAATGAAAAAAATGAGCTAATGTCTGTTTTACTACAAACTTCATGTTTATTTATATACGTCAAAATATGCCGCTATTTTGAATCGTTTTTTCAATATTGAATGGAAAATTCAGTTAATTAGATACCTGGAGTATATATCAAGTCTGGTAATTTTTCATTTTTAATTCTGTATTAAAAAAATTATGTTCAATTTTTTAATTGTTACTATACATAATGGATATTAAAAAATTATACATAATTTGTTCGTATGATTTGAATTGAATTTTAATTTCTTTATTATAATATATTACAGTATTTTTGTCAACATGAAGGTCGATAAAAAAAAGTGTTCACATGATGAGAATCTATCAAAAGTATGTTTAATATGTTTGAAAAGAAATAAAAAAATGAATATAATCTCGGAGTGTATAAAAGAAAGGTTGCTGAAAAAACTTGACCGTAAATTTTTGCCGTTCGAAGATAATCGCTTACCTCGCGCTTTGAGTGAATCTTGTAAACGAAAATTATATCATTTTGATACGGAAACATGCCGAGTAAAAAATACTGATAAAATGGAGCTGCCGGATTATGTTCTCACCATAATCGATTCGAAAAGATTGCGCGATAATAATTCGAAAAGTGCCGAAGCTTGTTGTAAGATTTGTGAAATTGCTACTGCACCCGCCAACAGTAATTTACTCACCGGTAACATTGTTCGTAAAAACTTTGAGAAAAAAAACAAAAAGGAAGAAAAGTCTTCATCATTTAACTCCCTTTCTCGTCACGAACGCGTGAGTGATACAACCAAATATATTGTATCAAATTTTACGACTGCAGAAAAAGAAATGATTATGACTGGTTTAATTAAAAACACTATTGCTGAGCAAAATTTAAATTCTAATGAAAAGAACATCAAACTGTCTCTCAAACAACCAAAAGGAGGACAAAATTTAGGTATTGTTGTAAAACCCAGCGTAAAAAACGAAACCAAGATAACTCAAATTTCAGCAGACGATGTAAATAAGATTAAAACAGCGTTCAATGTTTCCAATAATACTATGACCGGTATTGCGAAGGCGTTTCGAACAGTCACAAAAAATCGGAAACTCTTCGAGCCTGGATTAAACGAGAAACTTGTAGCAAATAATCATGTTTTAGATAGTTATTTTAATTTAAAAAAAATAAATTCCATTGTAAAAATGAAGAATGAAGTAACGAAATCTGAAAAAGTTGCGATTTATTGTAACGATGTAGAAAATCTGATAGAAAAAGTGATGGATCATCGTGATGTATCTGAAGCAAGTTTAAAGTTAGGCATCGATAGTGGAGGAAAGTTTCTCAAAATTTGTTTAAGTATTCAGTCGGAGGATGGTCCAGAATTCGAGCAAGAACCACCAAGGAAACGATCCTACGATGGTAATTTTGAAAAGAAATTCAAAGACTCTAGTGTAAAACGATTATTCGTGATTGGTTTAATTCAGAGTGCACAAGAAAATTATGATAATTTAAAAGAATTATGGGCCTTACTAAAACTAAATAATCTGCAAGCATTTCTAGCAATTGATTTGAAAGTTGCAAACATGATTGTAGGTCTAGGCACACATTCCAGTTCCTATCCATGTACATGGTGCGAAGCACCAATGCAGAATTTATATGAAAAAGGACCTCTTCGAACAATTGCAAATATTCGCGAGAATTATGTCAAATGGAGCAGGGATAATGGGTGTCAGAAGAAAGATGCAAAGTTATTTAAGAGTTGCATTCAGGATCCTCTATTAAAGAACTGCAAAGATGACACGGAAATCATCGACATCATACCACCACCAGAACTTCATTTGCTAATTGGAGTTGTAAACAAAATGTACACAGAAATGTCAAAAAGATTTCAAACAATTAGCGAGAAATTTGCAGAATTATGTTTCGTCCAACATGAAGTCAAGAAAAGTGGTTCTGCTTTTAAAGGCAATTCATGTAAAGCACTGCTACATAACGTAGATAAGTTGAGACTCCTTTGCAATACCGAAATTTTGTGTCTCAAATACGTTGATTCTTTTAAAAAATTTCGAGATGTTGTAGATTCGTGTTTTGGGGAAGAGCTTAAATTCGATTATATTGAAAAAATACAATTATTTAAAAGTAGCTACAAAGAGTTAAATATTAGTGTCACTCCCAAGGTCCACGCAGTATTTATTCATGTTCCGGAATTTTGTAAAAGGAAACAGCGAGGATTAGGATTTTACAGCGAGCAAGCTATGGAAGCAGTTCATTTTGATTTCGCGAAAACTTGGGCTAATTATAAAACGGATGACAGGAAAGAAAACTATGCAGAGAAACTCCTAAGATCTGTATGTGTCTACAATAGTAATCACATGTAATCGTTCAATTTTACTATTAAAATTACAATTTAAATACAATTCTTGTAAATTGTAGAACGTTTCGATATTAAAAGTTATCATAAAAATTAAATAACAGAATTTTTACTATTTATATTTTTAAAAGATAAAACCAAGCTTATTCAATTTCAAAATCTTTAAAGTTTTCAAGATTTCCTGCGACTTCTCTGCCTTAAATTAATAAACTAATATCAGATTTCGATTCTACTGAAAACTTCTTTTAAGAATTATATTATTCTATAATTGTTTGAATAAAAAGGTACCAGTTACAATATCATATGTTGGTTTATAAAATCTTAAAAACCTGTCTTTTCTCAAATTTGTTGATAAAAACACAAAAATTGAAATTAAAAAAAATCCGCCCGACGGATTTTGCTTTTTCCTTCTGAAAAATGATCAGTGAAGAATTTCAAAGAAGTTACAACAGGAGTCGTCTAAAGGATGCAACTTGAGGGTTGAAATTGTTTCCAGGGTACCGTGATATACAAATAACTAAACTTTTCTTCCAGGCAAACTCATTCCTCCACTGTTGTCTAGCGTTCAATAGTTTAATTCCACTGCAGGCATTGAATAAATTTACTTTCTTATCCGTACTTTAAATACCTTTAATGTTGATTGAGAAATTTCTAAATGGTGGATCAAATATATTAAATGATTTTATGCACTCATGATTAAAACTTCTGGATTCAAAATAGCTTCTGCATCTAAGCCAAAACCTTCCTTATGGTTAGCTAGATTTGCTATTTGAAACCTATTTTTAAAATGTTGCTTTGCCCCATCTGTCATAATAGATTAATTTTTTTTACTGATTTGACATTTCTTTTGGATTTTTAATTTAAATTAAAAACAAATTAATTATTACCAAGTAGTAAGTTTCAAGTAAAATAGTATATTTAAAAACTGTGTCCGACATGTTCGTAGTCAGCGACCTTAAAAGACCCTGAACAACAAATTTCAAGCAAAAAAGTGCAATTGTTCAAAAACGTATTTGCCATATTAGATTCGACATTTTTTATTTTTCAAAAGTGATTTCAGATTCGTAATCAGCGACCCAAATAACCCTTAGAAAGAAAATTTATCAATCTACATTAAATGTATTTAAAGTACGGATAAGAAGGTATGTTTTATTCCAAAAATAAACAATTTTTATTATTTATTTCATACTTATTTAGCAAAATATAGAATTTTTTATACTCCATTCCTAGTTTTGAAAGTCGGACTTTAGAGTCCGACATTTTGTTTTTTCAAAAAAGGCCAGGGTACATTTAAAAATAGTCATGTTATTCAGTGAATACGTGCCTTATATACTTTACTATGAAAAAGCGTCTCTCTGAAAAACATGTCCCTATTTGGATTTTTTTCGTTTAAATATAAAATGGACAGATAAAGGATAAAATTTGACAAATAATGACCCACATATATTCTTGTCGAAATAAATATTTGTGTTATTTATTTCTTTTGATAAACCTATTTTTATACCCATTTGGAAGTTGAAACTTAAAGAAAATACTTATTTTGTAGCAATATAGAGTAGATGAGCTTAATACGTGCGAAGGAAACTTTTGCATACTTACATCCCCTATGCCCTTTCTGAAAATTCAAAATAACTGATTTAATATATTATCAAACTCGATAATTACTTTTGATTCTATTCTCTAATCCGGAATTAATTAATAATTTACAGTTTGTTACTAATCCAGATAAATTGTATATATTTAAGATATTTTATTTTTACAAATTTTCTAGGTCAGTGTCCTTATTTGGTTCCCAGTTCATCAAGCTGCGAATTACAATGTAGCAATGATCAACAATGCTCTAAAGGCGACAAATGTTGTTCTACAGGTTGTGGGACACAATGTGTCTCTCCTGTTGTTGCCACTGCTTGTCAACATGCACGAGCTGTTGCTGAACACGAAGCTAGAGAATCTGGAGAGCCTGCTAGAAGGTCATATATTCCTGGTTGTGATAGAAACGGAGTTTTTGATCCAGTTCAGTGTCATGATGGCATGTGTTGGTGTGTTGATAATGAAGGTCGTGAAACACCAGGTATTAAATAATAAACAAATTTTTATTACATAAAGAAAATACCTGTATAAATAGGTGAATAAATTTAATTAACTTAAACAATTTAAAATATTTAATTTCGTATAACTCTAAAAATAAAATTGTAACCAAATATTAAAAATTTTTAAGAAATTCTAAATATAAGTTCTGAGAAAGAAATTTTTAAGTGCATTTTATTTGTGCTTTTAGAGGTACTAAAAATAAAAAGAATTATTTTCATTATTTTCTTTATTAAGTTTACAATAATGAAATCATTGTCATATTTTTTAACTTTTATAAATAAATACATTTACAATTTATTGTCTGTAAAATAATGGTTTCAGCAAATAACTTTCAATAAAAAAACGTATGGTTTTATTTCTGTTCTTATAGAGTTTTTTTAACAGAGCAAAGTACCCGAAAGTTTGATTACTCTCCTCCATAGGCGTAGTTAGGTAGGGGTCCGCAAGAATATGTAAGAGATCATCTCTCCCTTGGCCATAACAAAGACAGTCATTATTTAAATCAAAATTGTAAACAAGCTGGCCTGTGTTAATTCTACAGATATAACAATTTAACAATCTACCTTGTGCAAAAATTCAGTTCAAAAAAGATTAAGATAAATCAGAAGACTCTTAGACCCAGTGTAAAGCTGACAATCCGATATCCGTACCCAGTGAGAAATAAGAGGTCTAACCGACACGGAGAAAAAGTATTGCTACGTTGACAAAAAGATTGTTAATATAGGACTAGCTAATTTATTTAGTTGTCCTAATAATTTAAACTTTTTCTAATAACAATAAATCTGTTAAGGTAACAAAAAATTTTGTAACAACAACGAACGAAATTTGTTAGTTCTATGTTAACAATTCTTTTTTCTCTGTGAAGGAAGTATAAAATCTTAAAACAAAAATGACAGACTTTTTTTAAAATTAAATAAATAAAATATTTCAATTTAACTCATACATTGTAACACTTATTCGTTGTATATTCATTAATTAAATTAATTTGAAAACACAATATTAATTCATAAACCTTTATAGGCGAGAGAAATCGCTTTTCGACCTCTGTAAGTGAGAAACATCTATAAGCGAGAGAAAATTTCCGGTCCCTTGAACTCTCGCTTATCCAGGTTCGACTGTATTTGTATTTGTCATTCAGTCGCTTAGTGTACACTGCCGGTCAAAATTAGTGATGCATTCGATCGACACGATATAAAAAACGATTGATATTTGTTCTTATATTATGTAAAAAAAACGATATGAGAATAAGTCTTTTGTTTTTCGAACGATATTATCGTTATTCGAGCGAAAGTACCGAGATTCTCGGAATTTTTTATTTGGACATTATTTTCAAAACAATAAAAACAAAATTCTTTATCAAATACATTCAAATAAATAATAGTTTTTTGATTAGAAGTTTGTTGATGTTTAGTAGAATAGATAGTTAATTTATACAATTTTATTTTTAATTAAAAATTGATAATAATTAGGGGAGATTGGGGAATTGTGGTCCACCTCAATTATTTAATCCTAATATTTATAAGTTTGATCATCCAATTTTTTTTATTTTCTTTTGTTCATACAAAGTAAATTCATTAGCATTTCATTACTTTACAACGCTATATATTTATTTATTTGGTTTATACACCCGTCTTAAGCTTATCTAACTATACAAGTGTGTTTACATTTTCTCTTACATAATATTTCTTATATACATTTTCCTAATACTAAGCTTTGCGCCTACAGAGCGACTTGAAAATTAGGAGTACTCGCCAGTGGAGAGGGAAACTGTAGAAAACCTCTCCTGAGTACAACCGGTTTATCGACAGTCGAGTTCTAATGGTGTGTACCGGACAATAATCGACGGTGCACATCATTATACCTCGACGTCAAATCTCCCGCTCAGATTGTCTCACGTGCCGAAAAAATACCAAGCCAAATGGGCGCGAACCAAGGGTACTATACCCTTGGTCCTTCAACGACCGCCAAGCGAGGCATCTATCCGACTAAGCTAATCTGTCGGTCACTTTACAACGCTATATAATTATAAACTATATTTATAAAGATTAAATTATGATTAATATTTTTTTAATTATTGTGTGGTATTGGTACTTTGACTACAAAAAGAAACTTTGCATCAAATTAAAATAAATAAATAATACAAAGCTTTTTGTAAAATGAAGCATTTGGGGAATTGTAGGCCCCTTTTTTAGGGAAGTATTTATTGCTTGTTTTTGGCGATTTAATTGCACAATGCAGGAACATACATTATTAAAATCACTTATAGTTATATTAATTTAACAAAAACAATTCGTTTCATTGCGATTCATGCGATAAAGCTGTTTCCTTAAAAATTTGTAATTAATTAATTGTGATTCCGATTAATTTCATTTTCTCACTTTTTCTTTTTTAATTTTAAACTAATAATTGAACATTTTAAATACTTATAACCATTTAATAAATATATTTCATCGTTATTTTTGATTTTGAACTCAATTTAGGCAGTGGCCCACAATTCCCCAATTGTTAAATTGGGAAAAAGGAAAATTAGGTTAAATTGGGAAATTGGGACTTTTAAAAGTCATAAAATTGCACTCTATGGTAAAACTGAAATTTCTTGGTTAGTGATAATTTTGGGAAACTGTCTATGATATATGTTAGTTTATACCTCCTACTAACACAAAAAATTCAAAAATTTGAAAAAAAAAATTTTGTTAACCTCCCTACGGTTTAACCCGAGTATACTCGTGGTGTATCTTTCATTTATTTATTTAAAAAAATTTAATTTGAGAGTCACATAAATAAAGTACCAAGTGTAACTTGAAACTAAAGAGTTTTATTTAATATCAAAGTAAAAATAAAATAGTCAAAATTAATTTTAACAAAGTTATAAATTTATTTCCTGCAAATGTGAAAAATGATAAAACCGTAGCACAGTGGGACTTTTTTACAATTTACTGTTCAAAAATGTCTACAACCTACAATTTGTAACAGATTTGAGTGTTCTTTTGAATTTAAAAGGGAATAAATTTTTGAGTCATCCCTCGAGACCGATTTTTGAGATAATATATAATTATTTCTGATTTTTTATTTTAATCAAAGTTAACAAATTAATACAATTTTTTAAAAAAGGACGTTTATTTTCTTATTTCGTTACTGCACATAATCTAAATCAGTTCAAAATAATCTAACATGACCACCAGACAATTAATAAAACATAAAATGATTTATTTAAATTGTTATAACCAATATTAAATAACAAATAGAAAACTTTGATTCCTTTCCACTAAAAAATGTTTTTTTTCACATTTTCTTTTTAATTTAAGTTCATTACAAGAATATATGTCCTTTTTGTTTAAAAAGTAACTTATTTAAATTGTTACAAACAATATTAATTAACAAATAGATAACTTTCATTCTATTCCACTAAAAAAAAGTTTTTCTTCCCCATTTTCTTTTTGATTTAAGTTTATTACAAGAATATATGTCCTTTTTGTTTAAAAAGTAACTTATTTAAATTGTTATAAACAATATTAATTAACAAATAGATAACTTTGATTTGTCCTTCCTAAAAAAGGTTTTTCTTTCACATTTTGTTTTTAATTTAAGTTCATTACAAGAATATATGTCCTTTTTGTTTAATAAGTAACTTATTTAAATTGTTATAAACAATATTAATTAACAAGTAGTTAACTTTTGTTCCTCTCCACCAAAGACTTTATTTTATTTCCACGTTTTCTTTTTAATTTGTTTAAGTTCAATTCAAGAATATATGTCCTTTTTGGTTAAAAAGTAATTTATTTAAATTGTTATAAACAATATTAATTAATAAATAGTTATCTTTGATTCCTCTTAACTAAAAATTTTTTTTTAACGTTTACTTTTTACTTAGATTCATTTAAAGAATATATGTTCTCCTTGTTTAAAAAATAACTTATTTATATTGTTATAAACATTATTAATTAACAAATAGTTAACTTTTGTTCCTCTCCACCAAAGACTTTATTTTCTAAGTTTAGTTTTTTAATTAAAAAATTAATTGTGAAAAAAAAATGTCATAGTGGAGAGGAATCAAAGTTTTATCGTTCGGTGTCGATTGATATTTCAGTACGATACGATATATAAAAAAACAAATAAATGAACGATATTCACTTTTTTAACATTTTTTGAAAACGATCAATATGAAGTGAGATAATTGAAAATCTCGTATCGTTATGCATCACTAGTCAAAATTGAGAGACCACCCATTTTCAGATGATTGAAAACATTTTAAAGTATAAAATGTATGGAAACTAAAATTTTTTTCTTTTTATTTTTTGAAAGATGTTAAAATTTTGAAAAGAACAAGATCTTTTAGTAGTCATTTGCCCAATATTTTATTTAGATATTTTTAAAAAATCGTCATTTTCAATGTTTTACAAAAATTTGAATAACTTTTAAAATAATAAACGCTTTTTAATGACCTTAGGTTTATTGTAAAGGTTATTTGTTACTCTATAAGAATTATTTATAGGCATTAACGTGTAATTTTTTTCTTAGAAAATGTAGGCCGTCAAACTTGGACCAAAAAAATTTGGAACAATTTTTCTGTACTAAAAACTATTCTAGAAAATATATAAAACATCATATGGTATAGATTTTTCAAAAAAATTCAAGTAAAAAAAATATGTTTGAATTTTAAAAATTATTTTCTGTTAATAAGAATGTTCCAAATTTCTTGAATTTTTTTGGTCCAAGTTTGACGGCCTGCATTTTCTAAGAAAAAAATTACACGTTAATGCCTATAAGTAATTCTTATAGTGTAACAAATTACCTTTACAATAAGCCAAAGATCATTAAAAAGCGTTCATTATTTTAGAAGTTATTCAAATTTTTGTAAAACATTGAAAATGACGATTTTTTAAAAATATATAAATGAATTATTGGCCAAACGACTTCTGAAATATCTTGTTCTTTTCAAAATTTTATCATCTATCAAAAAATGAACAGAACAAAATTTTA